CTGAAATGGCTTTCTTAGACGAGTCGCTGGCCTTACGCGTCTCGACATGGTCCGGAATAGTGACATCCGGCAAAGCCTTGGAAAACATCCTTTGTTTCTCCAGGTTGAGAAGTGACAGCTGCGATGGCTTGGGCATGTGTTGCGAATGCTTTCAGAAAGGAAGGCCAGACCGCTACTACTTAGCCAACCGACAGGATGATGCCCTCAGAAATGACCATGAATAACCTAGTGTAAATATATCGAAAGGCTCTGCTCCGGAATCAGGTTATCTTCTGCTGAAGCTGTAATTCTGCCGTGGGACCGGGAACTATTGTGATATTGAGTGACGCGTCTGCATTTGCGACTCGAAGGGGTAAGCGGTGATCAAAACTCACTGACTGAATGTCTAGGGAGAATTTGTGCAAAGCCGTCTAGAAGGTGGATTGCAGAAGGCGCCACGTGTAGCAGGATGAAACGTGTACCTGCAAATCGATAAATGTCTGCTAAATGAGCGTTACATCTGGATAATTACCTAAGCCAGGACTGAAAAATAGGCAGCCTAGAATAACTAATAGCGCGTAGCTCATTTTGAGTATAAATTTTATACAACAGTCCATCGAACTCCGTATCTACTAGTCATTTCATGCATTACATCCAACAAAGGAAAATACACGGAAAATTACTCCGTAACACTTTCATGATCCTTAAGTTGTTAGTTGAGACTCAGAAAAACAGGCTTCTGTGGTCTTGCGGACTGTCACTGGTCCAACGCGCGCAGAGACAGGTGAACACGTTATAACATCTTAAATAAATTATTATACAGACAGACTATGAGTCATGCAATTTCAAATCTACACAAATGAGTGCGAAAGGACCAATGAAAAAATTTAATTTAACGATCCTATTGGAGGAAGGTTAAATTAAAAAGGAAGGTTATTGCAAGCCACTTTGGTGCATATAAGTAATGAAGCTTGCTGAACAACGACAGTTATAAGTTTAGAACATGATATCGAAGAATATATTGACTCATATGGGAATGAATTATCGAATGAAGACTTCATTGTATTAGAAACAGAAACAGCTGCTGAGGCTTTGGAACCAGAAGAGGAACCGAAACTTTCGTGGCGAAGGGGATGACAATCGCGTTCTGCGAAATTTCAGCAGGAATTGGAAAAAGCGGATCCTAATGCATCAGGGTTCTTAAAAGTCCAAAAGTCCGAAAGATAAATAGGTGAAGTGCTATTTTGTTATAGATTAATTTAAGAAGAAAAGAGAAAGCATATGCTTAGTTATCTCTTGATGTTTTAATAAGGAATTTAAACGAAATTTAAAATTTTTTCATTTGTTCATTTTCTGATAGCATTTATACCGCATTATATTGCCTTGTGTTAATAATTATGTTTAAATATAATATACGCGTGTGTGCTCTGAAAAAAGAACATGTTAATTTGTTGTTGCCTGTGGTATTTTGAACGTGATCAATTGCGTTCGACTAATGGTTAGGGGGTGGGCTAAATCCGACTTACGTAAAATTCGTAAAGGTTTGTAGAACGCAACTCTTACGCAATTCAGTGCCTGCCTGTATAGAGAAATCAGTTTCAGTTTACACTAGTATAAACAATGGGCATCTACAGATCACTTGACGTAAGGTAACTGGGAAGGCAAAAGTGGTGAAGTGGTAAGAAGCCAGGTTCGATCCTTGGCGAAAGATTACCTTGACTGCCAATTCCCTCAAGTAAGGAACTGATTCGAAGTCGCTTCGCTGCGACCAGTTGAAAAACAGGCAGCAAGTCGTCAACTTCTGAACAATCGTCATATATGACTTTCGTCAAGTATGACTTTCTAGTGTAGTCGTACCAGAATGGGCCATGTAGTTCTGAAAGAAGCGCCTCTCAGAGCTGTAACTGGCCTAGGTTCATCAGACACATGTCTATCTAATGCGATATTCGGT